GGAGAAGGTCAAGAATATGTTGGGGCCAGATCTGTGGTGAAGGCCGAGGCTAGGACTGAGTCACTGTAGACCAGCATCGATCAGAGACTTGGTCAGCGCCCACGAAGTCTTTCTGGTTTGCGTTCTATGTTGTGAAGGACATCTTAGGGCAAGCAGTCCAGCATGTCATACAGTAGGGAGCCCTCGTGCGTCTCACATCTTACACTAAATTTAGGCAAGGTAAGCTAGCAGCAAGAAGGAGGTCGCCAGAGCAGGGAATGGGGGTAAGAAAAAGAGAGTTCTCCAAGATGGCAATTCCGAGTCTTGAGAATCCGATCAATAAAAACATCTTTCAATGTGCATGATATCAAGCACCATACGCATGGTAAGAAACCTATTAAAGCGCCTTCATCAATATTGACAAGTGCATGGGAATACATAATATGGAAGTAGTACTCGAACAGAAGCATTTTTGATCTTGATAGAATCTCAAGTTATGAAGACCGTACTTGCTGCAGTATGAACAGTCAATACTCATGGTGTGGTAGTGCTGATGATCTAAATGAAAACATTGTGAAGTCTAAATCCAAAACAAAAACAATGATAATCAATGTGCAGAAAAAGCATCAGCCAAGCCAACTCAAAGTCTTGCTCGGCAGCCCAAAATTCCGACCATGAGAATTGAATCTGTCCAAGAGCGCCAGGTCAGCGGGGTCCACTAATTGGAAGCCAAGCGAGTTTGGCTTGAAGTTGGGGACACAGCTCAGGCTACACAGAGTAAGATGCCACGGCATGTTACACCACCCTCGGCGGTACGACCATACGCGCCAGCAAGCCGAATGAAAGTCGGTTATCTGGGCCACGCCACGTACAATCCCCGGAGCCTCGAGGTGTGATGTTGTCCGGGAGGGTCGTATCAAGGAGTGGGAGCCGGGTACGGACCCAAGCGGGTAACAATCCGATCACCGCCTTGGAGACAACACCACTAATGTACCTTAAGTAGGTTACTTAGGGAGAACATCTTCTCCAAAAAGTCAATTATGACCAATATTGCATCTTTTCTCAGCTATGGCCTTACATACATACATGTTGGCAATTTGATCCGAGAGGAAAAACTCTGTACTACTAATCTGTTATATTCCCTTCTCCAAAAGGTTAATTACAATATTGCATCTTTTTCAGGTATGGCCTTACAAACATACATATCGCCACTTGGGAACCAAAGGGAAAACTCTATACTACTAACCTGTTATAATTCCTTCCACGGAGAAGAAAGAAAATATAACAGATTGTAGTACGAGAGTTTGGAACCCTTCGGGAGCTTGCTAATATGTATGTATTTAAGGTCCCTTTTTGAGAGGCAAGATTGGCGCGAGGGCGCCCCGCCAAAACCAAGGTCGCCCCTCACCTTCCCCCTAAGTGCTTGCCGGATTTTGGAAGTGCTACTCTTGGAAATGAGGGCCGACAACCCCCAGAAATGCCTTTTATTTTGATCTGACGGTGGCGACTTTGGGCGTATTTGGCAGTAATCGACTACATGATGCCATTAAGCGTCATCGGTGATTTACCGGATGGTGCGGCACACTGCGGCCCAAGCCGGCCGCATTATCCGCAACGAAGTCAATC